TGTTGATTTAGGAGGTAACTATCTTGTCCCAGAAGAACTGTTATCCTAATAATTTTTCCTAGGATGGAGCTGCTGGGAGGAAAGAGGAGCACTACAGTGCCCCTCTATTCACTGCATAATGTAGGATACATACAGCAAAGGATATGGCAGCATTTAATGCATGTCATAGTGACATTTAGTCCTGGTGATGCTATCATCACTGTTATCTTTTCAATAGCATAGGTACTGCAGACCTTCCTGTTGTCTGCAGTAATTAAATATCAAGATGCCTATCCTAAGTGTGACCGTGTTATTGTGAGAGGGCAAAAACCTTGAAAGCTGTCCAGGGGTTAATTTTGTAGATGCATTGCTTTTTTTAAAAATGGTTCATAGAACCATTTTGTGTAGACAGTAATGGAGTCATTTTTCAAAAGTGCTGATCAATGAAGGTAGCATAGGAGCAGCAGACTATACGAGCTTAAAAGAAAGGATGACCAAGATGCTCTCTGTGCTGTTCTGTTCCCCTGACATGAAACAGAAATCTCTGCTTATGCATTCCTCTGCCACTTATTTGAAACCAATTTAAATTGGGTATTGAAAGTTGTAGATAGTGTTCAGCGTGCAGAAAACAGACAAGGGATAATGAAAAAGGGGCATGGCATAAGTAAACAGGTTCCTGACTCCTGCCATTCCCTCTTGGCAATGCCTTTTGTGAAAAGGGAGGAAAGGAAAAGAATACCTTTTGCTTCAGCTGGCAGAGCGATATCAGATACAAATTGTCTTTAAACTGCATTCTAAGTGAGTTAAAGTAACTAATGAACCTTAGTGATTGTCCTGGTAGAAGGACAATCCTTCGGTATTTCTTCTTTTATTCTAAAGGAAAGAACATTTGCTTTTCTTCTCTTTTGGCCTCTTTGCTCTTTAGACCCCAACTCTAACGAGGCTGTATTTTAGCCCCTGTCCCCATGGCAATGTGTGCAGCATGTATACACCATCACATTCTGTTCATATTAAAGGTATTGTTTTGATTTCTAAGCATTCCGTGGGCTTTAAGTTTTTCCAGTAACTGTATTTTTCTCAGGAAAACAAGAAGTGCAGAACAGTACAGAATAAGCTCTCATTCTCAGTCACGTTTACTGTACACAGAGAAGATTTATATGAATGGGAGACGAGAGACTGTGTATCAGCAGAACTGATGTCTCAAACCACTCCTACACAGCGATGATTTCTGTTTTAGCCTCTACCACAGGTCCTGTCACAGTGAGGGCTATGGTTCAGCAGCTAGAAAGTGCTCTGTGAGCTCAGCATTTTCTGTATCCTCATACAGAGCTGTTCACAAACCATGTTTGCCTTTAGCCAGATCAGTAAGCAGAAGGAGACACGAGGTTCACCTGTTAATGTGACCACTGTTTGTTGACCAAGCAAACTGCAGGCTTTATCTGGACACATTCAAGCCAACTCACTGTACATCCTCTGGGAACTCGTTCAGTCTCTCTCAGAGGCTCATGTTTTTGGACACAACCCAAGGTGCACCATGTGTGTTGAGGATATTTTGAACACTGGAGGAGAACCACCCACCACCCTGGCTAAAATTCAGATTGATTAGGACCCCCTCCAGTCTCTGATTCCTGATGATTAAAGGCGAGAGATCGCCTGTAGAGATGACACCTGTCAGTATGAGTTATCAGAACGCATGAATCGGTCACTTAGTGGTGTGTCAGTTTGTTTTTTTAACTAAAGGAAGCATTCTGTTTAATGCGAGTAGTTTTAACTACCATCAGATCTTCAGCATAAGGAGTGATTGCAAAGCTGTAACCCAATTTGAAAAAGGAAGACAGCAAGGCCAAATTAAACTGGCAGGTTTGGAAATTTAAATTCAGTAGCAGTTCGAGTTATACACTACTCTTAGGTTAAAAAAAAAAAAAAAAAAAAACTAATTCTATTTTAAAGACTCATTTTCCACAAATGGCTGAGCTGTTTAAGTTAAAGTGAATAAATACCTAATGAGCCATTAAAGTCTATAAGACTGTATGGCCTCCGGGCAGTGGTACCTGGATTCAGCCAATTATAGTTCCCTACGATAAGATGAAGACATCAGGTTGTTATTGGAATATATAAAGGTTGAAGACACTGTTAATAAGTCACTACAGGATGTGATAAAATTGTTTAAACTGTTTAAAAACTCTCAATGTGTTTTGCTAGACACATTTTTACTGCTAGGTTTTTCCTCCATAAAGTCTAATCCTTTCTTTGCACAGCCTTGAGAACTACGCTCTGCAATATTGCATTAATACCAAAATGTGATTTGTTTCTACATTTCCACGTTTTTAGCACGTACTCTGGAGGTTATGAAATATTAATAGCGGCAATTCTTCAAGCGTGGCATAGAGAGAACAGGAAGGAAAAGAAAGAAATTAAGGAAATACCAAAAAGTGTTTTTAAAAACCAAAGCAACTGTCCAAGAAAGGAGCCATAAATTGTGAAAGCTCTATTTGCCTTTAAGTAATACCAACCTCATGGAAATTATTCACACAGAGCTCCTATATATCTATCCCTACGACTTTTCAAGCTGAAGAACTCTGCCTATTCATAATGAGAATTTTCTTGTGTTGAATCTGTTTATTAATCTTTTATTATTTTACCCCATGGAGCCAAGCATATAAGATTTGACTATACAACCCAAATACATAATGAGAAACATGAGAAATCACCCTGAGCACATAGGCACTAGACTTGCAAAGATTTGCATTTGTGCATAATTTTCATCCCTCGGGTTTAAGTTTTCGGAGGTGAACACAGATTTGTCCTCTCCCTGACTCACCCGTGAGGCACATGATCCCGAAGTACTTCTGCACAACTTCTTTGTCTTCTTTTAAACCCTTCAGTGCCATCAAGCCCACCTAAAGTCAGGCCTGGCTAACCCAGACACACCACAACACAAGATTTTGGTGCTTTCTATTCTTTTCCCTGAGCTTGTTTCTCCTCTATCCATCTGTTTTCTTTAGACTTTACCTGGCAGGCTTTTGGGGCAGTTTTGCACAGCATTTAGTGCAGTAGCATCTTGATCTCTCTCCAGGGTTACTTGCTGTGTCTTTACCCAGCTTAACTAACTAATGTAAAGGCAGTGCATCAGGGGGCAGTTAATGGGACAATTCACAGGGCCTAAGGTTAAGCATATGAATAAATACGCACCCAGTGAAAGGCTGCCTGTTAAGAGCCTGAAACATTTCATTTGTTAAAGTCACCAAGCCTTTTAGCAGGAGAAAATTCTCAGTACCATTTTCTTTATGACTTGCTCTCCTATGACTTAAGTAGCAGTTATTTAAAGAATTGTGATTCTGTCTTAAGAACTGCCATATAAAAGCCATAGACCACACTATATTTTTACAAGCATATTACAAACCTCCCTGACTGATCAAGGTTTCTGACAGGCACATTTACACATTTTCATTCCCTCTGCTTTCTCACATAAACGTACTGAAGGTTAAAAGCACACAGCATCGTTGGCATAGCTTTATTTCCCAGCAGCATAAGTTGCAGAAAGACTTATGTTTGAGCCCTGAACCGGGGAGCATCTCGCCTTATCCCCTCCTGTGCCTGGAGCAGAGCTTTGGGCCACAGTGCTGCTGAATTATCACCAATGACTAATTCAGCTTTTCCCACTGCCACAGTTCTATTCTACCTTTGGCTCAAAGTCACCAAAGGGGAATAATCTTTCTACTAACTTACGGGACCAGAACCTCAGCTTGAGTAAGTCATCATAATTCAAATGACATCAACAGAAATAAGATGGTATTGTGTCAGTTTGTTTTTTATGTGCTGTTGTTGCTCCAAAATGTGTATCCTTGCTTCAGTGTTGCAATACGAAATATTATATTCCTTGTACATGCAGTCCTTCTCAGTTGTGCACAGGTGACCAATTCCAAACTTAGTCAAGACTGGAAGATCTGGAATATCATGGTACCATAGAAATGCTGGGTCCTCGTCTTACTGTTCAGAGCTGCACCTCCCCAATGAATGTAAGTGTAGTGATGCTACAGAAGGGAATTTACTGAGCATGTGGCTCTCTGTGGCTGTGCAAATGAAGGGTTTGAGAACTCTTTCTTAGAAAATACAGTACTAATCTTCATCCTATGAAATGGCTTCATTGATTTGAATCCCCTGATTTCACACCTACCTCTCTCATTAATGGCTTACAATTGGGTCCCTGACTTCACCGTGGTTTATTTATGACACTGCAGTCTTAGTGGCAACTCACCAATCTTAATTATAGACCCAAGGAAAGGAAGGAGGATGAGAGAAGATATAGTTAAAGTCACATAACAAAGCAAATAAGGAATCTGACTACATGATAAATACATTCTAAAGGAGAGCAATATAATCTCAGACAATAAGGAGAAGCTGAAAGTTGGAACATTTGACTACTTGCAGATTACATTTACATCAGCCCTGCCTTTTTGTGCATTAAAGATTGCTCACAGCTACAAATCAAATACTCTGGGTATAATAGATAATGAAGAGCTAACTTCCTAATGGCACTTCTAGTCATGACTATGGACTGCAATCTCCTTTTTATTAAGGGATATTATTTTCTTGTTTCTTGATTACATTCTTCAAGTTGTTATGGTTTTCCTTTTGCATTTCTTTACTATTACTATTATATATTATTAGGATGCTGCCAGCTACAGGCCAAGAACATAACTTAAAACTTGGTGTGAACAGCTGTGCTTGTTAGTCTAAGACAAATTGTTTTAGAAGTCCCAAGGTATAATGAACATGTATAGGTGACAAGAAAAAAATGTAGCTTGGTTTCAGAAGTATTTCTGAAATGCATAAATTTTTTTAAAGATTATTACAGATATCTTTTGTAATTTACAGGATGGATTACCTATGGGTTGGATGCAAGGGTAAGTATGTTTTTATTATTATTATTTTTAAAAGGGTCCATTCTTTGCTTTGAAGAAGTAGAATAAAGTAAGTGGCATACACGACAGTAACACGCGTTTCATTTTCTCCAAGAAAAGAAAGCCAGTCTTTATTTTTGTTTGCAGCCGTGAGAATAAATACAGAAATGAAAAGATTATAAGGTATAATAGTAATTTCATACAATGTAAACTGTAATTGCAATACAATCTGCAGCCATCAAAAGTACGTAATGTGAGAACCACCTGAAAAGACAAACTAAGCTGGCTAGGTAAACTTCCCAACTGGAATGGGAGCTGAAGGGAAAGAAATATATCAGTATTATTAGTAAATACTGTGCTGCAGATGAACACCTCAGGTTCCCCTGCTTGTATTGCTTTCCTGCTTGTTGAGCATCCACTTGGAGGAGGCACTGGAGTATTGTCAGTTTAGGAGCAATCTACAAGGGCCTGACAGGTCACCTAGATTTTGAATACCAGAGAAAAAAATCTTTACATTTTTAAAGTCTCCAGTAGCTGGATCCATGCTTCATTAGGCTGTTCCACTTCTTGTTCAACCATGTTTTGAAGTCATAGAGCAGCTTTCATTCCAGAATCTCAGTGTTCAGACAGCATCTATGTGAGCAAGGATAAAATGCTAAAGAAGCCAATAGAGATTAAATTATTTCTGAAAAATCATTCAGCAAGCATTAACCAGAAAGAACTGAAGAAACAAGCACCCCCATGCTAAGGCTGGTCTGTAGGCCAAAAATTGAGCAGTTCTCATTGTTGTGCTCATGCTCATGGAACTACATCCCATTGCTTACCTGTTCATGGCATGGAAGCTCCACTGTGCTGGATGAAGTGCTCACGCAGTGATTCTGTGTTTGTAGTGATTCTGTAGAACTGAACCTGCAAGGATATCACAGGAAGAGAGGAAGGCCTTCAGTTATTTGTAGCATCATCAAGAGCAGTGCTTCTACTCCACTCACAGTTAGCAACTACTTATTTTCAGCAGCTCTGAGGAGCAGAAAGGAACCACAGAATGACAACAGGGATAGTCCCTTCAGATCTAAAGATGCAGTGGAAAGAGGGTAAACCAACATGTGATGTTTACTTCTGGGTTGGTTTGTTTGGTTTTGTTTTGGTTTTTTTTTTGGTGATTTATTTTATTTTAAGAGCTATGAAAGATAAATTTTCTTCCTGAACTTCTTCTTTTTGCTGTTTTTGTTTATGTTTTTAAACATGCATACATTTTTTTTTCTCTGTATTTTGATGTTTTCCAAACTGAGAAACAGGTGAGCTCAGGTCTCTGTCACACGATAGAATCCTTGGATATCCACAGGGCAAAAAGACCAGAGAAGTGCTTCCTCTGCTATTGACACAAAGCACAGAAGTATCAGCCACACACCTGAGTGTCACTTGAACGAGGATGAATTGTGTTCTGAGCCTGCATTGCTCAGCTGGAGCGATCGCGTAAGCGCTGGGCAGCACGGGCTGCTCTGCTTCATCCCTCCGTCCCAGTGCACAGAGACTGTGTGCACAGAGCAAGTCCAGTCCAGATGGTGCAAACCAAGCTTTTGCAGTCTCCATTTTCCCACCCTTGCTTAATGAGAATCCTTGCTTGTCAAAACGATGAACCTACAGACTGAAAATGAACACTGTTATTAGTGATTCCATTTATAATGCAAATGTCTCTCTTTCTAACTGTGAATTAATGAAGAAAACAGGGTCACAAAGATGTAACTAAGGAAATCTTTCTGTCTTTGGATTTGCTAAATTTGCTCAGATATAAAAAGAGAATCTGCCCACCCAGCCGCTTTTCCCTAATCTGTTCTAAGCAGAGCAACAGCACAATGACAGAAAATAATATTGTCATTTAACTTAACACTCAGCAAATGCAATCCAGTCAGAGCTGTGCAATGTTTCATAAGCTTTAAATAGACTGAGTACTCCTTCCTTGTGAATTAGATATTGGAACCATTTTACGAAAAGGTAAATTGAGACATACAGGGATTAAGACCAGCATGACTGATTTCTGTGGCTCAGCTGGTCTTTTTTTCAGAGACACCAAGAAAACATCTCTCTTCTTCTGTCAGTTTAAGTCATAGGCTCTGATTGATATTGGTTTACAGTTGGTTTATTAAGCTGGACGCCTACAACTTGTCATTGGTGATTGCTCAAGAAAAAGGGGAACTGTTGAAGTTAATCCAGAAAGGAAGCAGGTGAGACTTGAGACCAGAATCTTAGTTTCCACATATAACTACAAAGCCAATCTGGTTCCTAAAGTGACATTACCAAAAGGTTTGGAAGGCCCTCCGCACTTAGAAAGAAAATAGATAAGTCAAGGAGAAAAATTAATACACTTAAATTAAATACGGCAACAACAAATAAAACACCAGACTATTTGTTATATACCATAGACTCTGTAGGAAAGCACTGCACCCATTATTTCTTATTATTGCTCCAGGAAAGAAATTCACAGGGAAGGCAAAAAAAATGAAGTTAGCAATGATTTTTCACTGTGAACATTTCTCCAGGGATGAGTTATAAAGGAAAAAAAATGTAGCCTGAGAGAAGAGAGCTAGAAAGAAAGGATTATCTACATTTATGTATTTAGTGAGACACTTGCACCCACACTAATGCTGTTATAGGGAAACCATTAAACAGCGCTTTTACACCTCTTTTTATTTTGTCTTAATGCATGGAAGAACCCTTTAGTCAAGAAGTAGTAAATTGAAGTACGCGTTATGGCTAAAGCTGCAGTAGGTAGGAAGAGAGAATCCAGTGTGATGCAAAGTCCTTCCAGTTAGGATAAATCTCTGCTGTATGGGCTGATTACTGGAGTGGTTGCATGCACTAACTGCGGGACTCTCTCTTCACATGACTACTATACCCAGTTTTAAGTAAGATAACCATACAACCTGATCTTACCTGGGGAAAGCTGAATGCCAAGGCTCCCCCCTAAGCATCCGCTGTGTCACAGAGGACCAATGACACTAACACATACTCTGTGAATAAAAATGCATACAGAACAGACAGGTCTCAAAGAAAAGTGAGCAGATGGGCTGGCAGACAGCAATGAGGAGGTGCGGCATAACAAGAAAATGAGAAGTTTTCAAACACGGAGTGGTAGCAGAGGGAGATCAGTTAGAAAGGGTTGCAAATTGTTGATCTTAAAAGTGGTTCAGAAACATCATAGAGCGAGAAGTCAAGAAGGATGACAGCATTTGGGTCAATAGTAGGCTTGAGATGAAAGGTAATACTACATGAAGCGATGCATCCTAACATCATACAGAAGAGTAGGTACTGAAATGCAGATAAGTAAATAGAAGAAAGGCTAGTGGAAATATAGAATAAAGAAAGAATACTGAGTAAACATGCCATTCAGAGGGTGGAATAGCTACAAATCCAACAAAAGTTAGTGCAGAATGAGGTTGCCGTTTAATAAGTTAGCACCAGCTGTTCAGTGGAGGATGGAGGGATTATGTTCATTATTTTATAAGTTCAGTTGCCAAATCAAACCTTAGAATCATTGGCCAGAATTGTCAATTGCAAACAAGGATTACGGTAAATCTTTTGCAGAGGCACTGAAATGAAGCAGAAATGTATTTCCTGCCTCTCAAAATGTCCTGAAAAGTGATGGATCAGAAACCTTTAGTGCCTACCGACCTAGAGCCTTCCCAGTTGAACATCAGTCTAAATGCTGTATTAGAATGACTATTGTCAGTGCATCTCCAGGGTCTGCAAAGGATGTGACTCAAACACATCAGGCTCTTGGCCTGATGGTGCTGGCAGAGGAGATCTGTCAGAGCCCTGGCTCTCTTCTGTACACACTGACCCTGGCTTCATTGTTTGCCCCTTCTGATCATCTCCCCTTGGGAGAGGCGAGGGGATGGCAACCATGGATTGCCTGTGTTGTAGCTGGTAGGCTGTCAGCCTGCTCAAACACATGGGTCCAGGCTCATGCCCAAGTTAGCTTATCAACAAAGCTTATGAGCTCCAACCAATCCCTTCATTAATATACATGTACAGTTTCCAAAATGGAGCTAGCCCACATCTGCCTAGCTTAGAGTACAGACAGTGGAGGCTGAATTTGTATGATATAATTGGATACAATATTGAGAAAAGATGTACCCTTAAGTCATCAGGGTACATCAGTAAGTCAAAGAGAGGAAACCACTCATTGGCTTAAGACTTGGCACATGCTCACTGCACCAGCTGGCAAAAAGTAAAGACTGAAAGATCCCTCAACAGTGTGTTCATTGACCTCATAGGCATCCTTAGGGGTTTGTTTGGGAAATATTACATATTGAATTATTGATCATCTGACTAAGCAGAGATGGAAATAACTGATCTACTGCTGAAGTGAAGATAAAGAACAGGGGAAGAAAAGAAAGTGGTAAAATATAGAAAAGTTGAGGTATGGACAACAGACACTATCTATATTAAAGGATATTCATGTTATTCTATGATAGAATAACAACATTATCCCTTCTGGCTCATGTTAATACTTTGGCTAAATCCTTTAAGTAGATTAGAAAGAATTATGGGACCTTACGGGAGGAAAAAACCTATAAACAGGTAATGTGCATGCTTTCATATAGATAGCTTCCAACGAAGTGCTGCCCTGGAACATAAAGAAGGGAACAACCAGACGTTGGATTCTTGAGGGGGTAATTAGTGAGAAAAAATAAGGTTTGAAATTTTATTTTTGTTTACATTTTGGGCTTCCCATAATTTCTCTGCTCAGCTGTTCCCTGTCACTCTGGACAAATTTCAAGACAAATTCCTTCACTCATAAAAAAGCAACCCCAAGCACTTAAGGAAGGATTGCAAAAACAAGCTTCATGCTGCTTAACTTCATCTCTTTATGTGGCTTAATGTGTTGTTTTTTTTTTTTTTTTTTACACTTATTGGGTTATATTCTAGCCAGGCTAAGCTGCTGAAGTCCCACTGAATCAATGAGGTGGTGCTAAATCCTCTGAAGGTTCCTCTGATTTTCACCCTCTAGCTGGTATTCTGACAAGCTAAACATATTACATTCCTCCACGCTTCTCTATTCATAAGAAAAGCTTCAAAATATAACTCAGATCACTCCTATAATAACCTGCAGTAAATGTACAGCATCTGAATGTATACACACATCCTCAAGTTATTATTATTTTTGATAGGCTTTGTTTTAGCCCCTGGTTTTCTTTTGTTTTCCTCTTCAAGCAGTACTTCTCAGGCCGCGTGCTTATCTAACTGGAGTCTTTGCCCACCCTGAATGCACAGCAAAACTCCCCTCACAGAACAGCACATCCAGACAAAACAACACATTGTTTAAAAATGCACACATTCCTTGTTTGTGCACGCACACACACAAAACAACATCTGTGATTTCAAATTCATCAAGAAAAACTTCAAGGACATCCAGGGCAGACCGGCACTGACCCAGCAGAACTGAGGCCTGTGATAACTTTCCCTTTAATCTGGTTTTCTCCTGCAGTCACCTTTTGCTTCCTCTTCTCTATTGATACTGTTGTTGTTATTCTGAAACGTTCCCAGGACCTCTCTGCTACATCCTGAAGCTTCTGTACTCATCAAAAAACAGACAAGCACCTCCATCCCAAGGCACAAAACATAACTGAAAGCACAGACCATCAGCACATCATCTGAGGTGTGCACATATCCATAGAACTGATTAAATATGCTAACTTTACAGAAAAACTATTCATTACCATTATAAAGAAGAGATCCACTATCTGAAGTACTGTTCATTTAATTATTCTTAGGTATTTTCCATGTCCTGTATTCTTGTGTGGGTATTTACTTTATTTTTTATACCATTTTTTATACCATTTTCCAACAGCTTTTTCTCCAGATATTATGAAAGAAGAGCTGGGTTAGGACCTTAATCCCTTTAAAGATTGTGACTGTTTTCAGATTTACTTGGATTAGAGTCATTCTGCAAATTTTCCTGCAAAATATGCTGTGCCTCTTATTGCTAGAACACGTGTGAGCACTCCACGCCAGCCTGCCACTCACAGGACAAGCTTACAAAATGCACTTGCTGTGTACATGCATACCCAAGTGAGAGAAGGCAAATATCATTTTTCCTTTTTTTTTCTCTTGAAAAAGGGCAGTTCCCTAGAAATTTGCAGCAGTGTGCCAGTTTCACATGAAGAGCCGATCTGAGGTTGTGATATAAGTCAGTCACTTGATTGACAGCATGTGAAGAAGTGTTATTTTTCTGTTCCTCACCCTAATGAAATTCCTGTGAGATGAGTACCAAGAACAGCAAGAAAGATGATGCTGGGACCCCAGAATGAAGCCTGACTTTTTTGCATCTGTTCAGATCATTTTAAAAGGGAAACACAGGTGAGTGCCTAAGCCATGCGTTGGTAATTCCCCCATGGCTGAGGAACTGGATGGATGTACATTTCAGAAATCCCATCTGTGAATCAACTGCAGGAGAGTAGCAAAGACCTGGGGCCAAACAGCAATAGAACCACACTGGGGGGAAGCCATCAGGGCATCAAGGCAAACTTGAATTCAATCACGCGTATTTGCAGCTCAACTTCAGGAAGTTCCCTGTAGACACAAACCACCTTCTCAGCCCCATGCGAAGGCAGGACTTGATCCACGGGGTCAGCACACTTAATGGATGAGAAGGGCTTGTTCACTCAGTTTGTTCCTGTGGTATTGTCTTGCTGGATCCCAGCATCCCATCCGACATGCTTCCTTTGCTGCTCTGGGAAATGCTTTTCTCACAGTGAGCAGGTTTGGCTCTAATTTTTCAAATGCCAAGGAGGTCTTTGGAGCACTGCCATATATTATGGGATATATTAGTTATTTTACTCCTTACAGCCATTGAGCTGGAAGGACCAAGGGGAGAGGTAATGGCCTGAAGGGATGAGGAGCAGTGTGAGTGGGTAGCAGATGAAGGGAAGAGAGTTGGCAAGCAAGTTTTCAGGGCATGTGGCATCCCACACCCATAAACGTGAGTAAAGGTTTAAGGTAACATCTTTACGCCCAGTTGAAAATGTCCTTCTAACACGATACTCCAGTGTTTCCATTTTCAGTTTCACGGCTCATCTATATGATCCTGAGAGCGCGTGGGAAGCAACATACAAATGGGAATAATAGAAATTAATTACTCCGTTAACATAAGTGGATGAAATGCAGGCCCTATTGAAATTAATATCAAAGCACTTTCACCAAGGGCAGGACTTCACTTACGGGATGCACTGTGGCACAAAGCCAGCGTCGGTAGATCAGCATCGGGGCAGCTCCAAGCGGCTGTGCTGGCAGTGATGGAGTACGGGCACAGTCTGGTTTTTTTCAGCTTCCTTATTCCTATTAACACATGCAAATGATGTGCATTTCTTTGTCCTTTTCGCTCCAGCAGCCTCAGTTAACTCGCTGTTAACATAGATTTTATTTCATCTTCTGAATTGGAGGGGAAAAAAACAAGCAGTGATGGAGGGATATGAAGAATAGCAAAGTAACAAAGTGCAGGCATATATACTGAACATACCTTATCCTTACAGTAAGAACCTGATTAGAAGTAGTGGACTAAAATGTAAAGCATGAAAGCATCCAAATAGCAGAGGGGCTTGTAAACTCATGAATAAGTTTGTCAGATAACTCTCTGCTGTGTTGCATTTTTAGCTGTATCCTTGTAAGCGTTCCAGAACAGTGGCCTTTGCATATTCCACAACTATGTTCTGAACATATTTATCAGACATATGCCATTCAGTGGTGGTTGTTAAATGCTCTATCCGTAAACCATTATGCTCTCCTATATTGAAGTTTCACTGCAACAGGCAGCTGTTTGACAGAGAATAAACTCCTGGGGACAGCAGCAAATCAAATTAAATATATCTCTACAGAGCTATCATAGGGGGTTGCGTGGCTTGATAGGCTGCATCAAGAGCAATAAGTACACAAAGGAAGAGCAAACCTGAGATAAATCAAGATAGACCAAATGAGCAAGCAGTCAGACAAATCATTATAGGCTCCCTGAAAGTCATTAGGACTTCTAGCATTCATTTCAATAGGAGCTGTATTTCAGCTGTCTGTCTGCACAGGAAGTTTTTAATCGTGTAAGAGTCAGAGAGATTATCTAATTGCTGTCCTCTTCCCACTCACTTTTATAAGCTTGGCTGTGGGAAATGATCCTGCTAATAAATAAGCACGCTGAGAAAAATACTTGTGCAACAACATGTTAATAATGAAGATCTGGCTCACTTTCTTTTGTAGCATTTGTTTTACTTGTATAAACCTTTAAACACCTTAGAGTTTAGTAGCAGCACTTCAGGAAACACAAAGTGCTTACATTCTTCAATATATTGAACCTTTCTTCAACGTATTTTCTACACCAAACCTCAATACTCCCTTTCTCAGCCACTCCTTTCAACGTGGCCATACTCAAATCCTTAGTATCAGTTCCTTCTGAAAAAGTAATGATAAGTCCATGTAGAAGTTAGAACAACCTTGTTCTGCTTTAAAAGCATGCAAACCTACATCATTCATTCTGTTGTTAACGCTCCTTCTCACCTAACAGTTCTCAGGTTCCTGATTAAACTGTGTAACCATGGCCTGCCACAATAGCCTGTTTTGTTTTTACTGTTTTTCTGAGTAACCTTATCTTAATCGGGTTCATAACGAAATCCATGGAGAAATACAGCTGTGCTGCTCCTACTCACAAAGTAATTTCTCATATTCAAATATTACCTTTGTTTTTCACGATCGCTTTGTCAAGCATCTCTCTACAGGCTGCCTGGGAAAAGGTAGGAGAGAAACAGTGGCCAACTGTTCATTGGTAACAACTTCTGAACAAGAAAGGGCTCTGTAGCAGCTGTCCTACTTCCCCCACAGCAAGGCTAACACCCAGTGACACACAGCCCATGATAAAGTCTGTCACTGTCATATTAAAAATAGGCTTTATATTATATATAAAAGTACTTTTATGAAGCACGGAGCTTCAGATATTCAATATGATGTTAAAGACCTGTAGTGTAATACGTATTTTGGACACAGGGCTATTTGAACTTTGGTTAGAACTCAAAAGGTGTTTGTTCCAATTAGAAGTTTATCCTTTTGCTGAAGCTGATCTCTTAGCATGATTTTCAATGAACATGATTGCTCCTTCCTTTTTCTCTAGAGAAATAATACTAAAATGGAGTAACTGTTCCAGGGAAGTTTCCTCATCAAGAGGCTGAAGAATCAAACTACCATTATCTTAGTCCATTTCTTCTACTAAACCTTTGTATTTATTCCCACAGAAACCACAGGAGATGTATTTTGTAGGTTGTGAAAGTCTAATCTAAAGTAAAAGCTTACAGTGAAATACAGAGAAAGGTTGTCTGATGCAAGAAGCACTTATTGCTTTCTTCTAACAGGGCTATGTGATAGCTCAGCATGTGCAAATAATCTGAATATCTGCAGCTAGGGCATTATTTGGTCTCTCATTACCTCTCCAGGACACGGTAGAACACAATTCCTGTGGAACTCCATACAAGTTGTACCAATAGACACCTCTGTCGGGTGAGGAGAAAAATTGTGTAAGTTGATCATAAAACAAGCATAAGTGACAAAGTAACATCATTTCTATTGATTTGCTTTCAAAAGTGGGATGCAGCTGTGAAACTGTGATGCTTTTATACACTGCACCTAGCATCATATCAGCTGTCACGTCTTATTGAGGATGTGAGCCATCTAACCCAGGCACTGCATTCCTTTCTTGATACACAGGAACAAAAAGCACAGCATTAACACACAGAGCAAGGTGGGGATCCAGGCTGAGGAATGGGGTGGCTGGCAAACCCACTGACAGAACTGGTGTTCTTAACCAGGCAGGCACACATACCATTGGTGTGGTGGGGCTCCCAGTAAGAGCTGCAGTCAGGTATGTTTCTTTGAGGCATGAACAACACTGTACCTTGTAAGTATTTTATATAATCATTATTTTTCCCTATAGATTGCATAGGGGCAGCCAAGAAAATAAGCGATGGTAGAACATAAAGCAGGCCCAGATTACCATGTCAGCATTCTTCCTCCCTATGCTTTTAAGGGCTTAAAGAACCTCTGATTCAAAGTCAAGTCCTACAGTCAGCACCACGTAACAGTCCAGATAGCACATGTTTTGTGCTGCTGTTTACAGTGTTACACTGTGACCCAGAGTGACATCTATTTCAACAGTACTGGTTAAAAACCTGCACTCAAAACCACTGCCTCCTGCCCTGTGCTGGAAATTGCACGTCACCCTGTTCCAATGGGAGAATGCAATTAGCACTGGGAGTGCAGCTGAAAAGGCAGTGTAAGCCAGTAGTAGAAAGCTGCAACATTATCAGAACTTTCCTCCTTTTTAAATGTCTCAGTTCAGAACTAAGCAATAAAAGAAGAGACAGTTTTTAAGCTATTACCCTTTTATTCATGTCATTTTCCCCAATCTCCTAAGACGTACCTTTGGGTGTTATGTGACAGCCATCAATACCATTCCTCACAGCCTAAGCACCTTTGATACCAATTAGAAAAAAAAAAAAAATAGAGAAATCAGGAAAAGACAAATGTATTTGTTAGCTTTTTATCTAAAGAGCAACTTACAGAAGGGAAAATTTACTAATGATTTCAGCCTTGACACTTCAAAGTGAAACTCTGTGCAGAGTAACATACTCTAATTTATCTTAAAATATATTGAAATACGTGACTATAGCACCAGGAAGTATGACTTCAGGGACCGTGGTATTTCAGTTCCTAAAAGGACAGGCAGTTACCTCACCATTATGAGCATGCTTTTAAGAACTCGAGCAACACTTCTTGCACGTTGTGGGGGGTAAAGGAAGAAATTGGCCTTCTCTTGGCTTCCTGAGCTGTGAAGGCTCACTTTGTACAATAAAATCCTTCCCTAATGACATGCTTATTATCTTAAGGAGTAGTACAGATGGTGTGTATTTTTTCTGTCTTCAGCATTGTTTGTGCTAAAATCACTCTTTAGAAGCTGGAAAATGCAAGCACTGTTAGACACTCAAGAGCCAATGACCAATGAAAGAAAACTAATAGCAATTAACAGCTGGTGGCTTTTATGAGCAGGCGCTGTCCCACCTTCATCCTCAACTGATTTTTTTGCATTTAAAGTTGTACTACAAACTCAGTACAGAAGTCACGGTAGGACTTTGGCCTCCCATTGCTACCTTATCAATGTAACAGATGAAGTGACCTCAGAAAGCAAAACGCAACCAATAACCAAATCCATACACACGGCTGAGAAGGAAATAACTCTGCAGGTGCTACAGTTCTGATAGAGAACAGATGTCATATAACAAATGTGGCCATCAGTAATAGCTCCTGTAAGATGCCAGTAATCTTTGCCTATAACCTGCTGCTCGGCCCCTCATCTCCAACAACTTAGAACAGCTCCTGACTAAACCCAGCTGACTGCTAAAGCGTGAAGTTGACCAGTAAGTCAGAGAAATGTGGCATATGCATAAGGTAGAGAGGTAGATTTGTTCACAGCATGCCAAGCAAGTGGCATCAGTAAGCAGCTGAGCAGTCAATCCTGCAACCACAGGGTACAAAATCGTATTAGAATTTGAGAGAAACTCTTACTTCTGCTTTCACATAACAAAATGACAGGATCTATTTTTCTGATTTTTTTTTTTTTTTTTTTTTAAGAGTGATAGGAAGAAAAGGAGATTGCAAGCTTCCCTTAGCTGAGATGCATGCACTGCATGTTGTGTTGGGTGTAAGCCAGAAGTGAAGGGACATAATCCAAGTGGTAACACAATGCTAGCAAGCTTTGGTTTTCTTCCTGGTAAGAGAATTTCACTTCAACTCACTGAACCAATTCTCATGCATTTAAGGCATCAAGAGAAAAAAAAAAAAACTCATCAACTTCAAAGTCCAAACATTAAGACTACAGGATTATGTTCTATTTCCATCAGGAGATGGTAGATGCACATTTAATTACTCTCATAGCTCTTGCTTCAAAATATTTTAAAAATAAACCTTTCAAAGTTACCAGAACTCTTTCATTTGAAGTAAACTGTTTTACTCAAATTTGAAGAGCTTATAGCAAAGAAACAGGATTCTCTTTCTCCATTCCTCCCAGACAAGATTATCTTGAACATATTTTACAAGAAACTAAGTTTCACTTTGAAATCTAATTAGCAACATGTCCATTTCACATAGAAAATAAACGTGTGAGTAGTTTATTCAGTCTTCTGGCCTGATATTCTAAATTGCAGATACCCACCTTTCAATCAGAAGTGCTTGAAAAACCATTATCCACAAATATAAATATACTGTAAATACATGTACACACACTGTGCTCCCACATGTTCATCTTTCAGGACTAACATGTCCATGTCAAACTTCAGACAGAACTTTCAGAATCCTAGACTTTAAAAGCTTCCATATAAACTCCTATGAAGACTACACACACGTAGCTGTGTGGACTACTTACAGTAAGTACTGATCCAAAAGCAAAATAAGAGGATGTCTCTGAAGTTACTTCCTCAGGTTGGCCAGGATGGTGCTGCTTTTTCAAAGTCTCTCAGTAAAAGTTTCCAATACTTCAAGCCTTTAATCCACGGGTCTGGGTCCTCCAGCTCTGAAAACAACAATGAAGGCAACCTTGCACACAACAGCTGATGATCAGCTGTTGTATTAAAATGTCTTTGTTCTGATGGAACAAAAGGCAGTGGTGTGATCAGAGTTAAAATTGGGAATTAGAAACAGCATCAACCTCTTCTATGATGATGGTCTTACTTTTCTGGTGATAACTGCTATGAAGAAAGGCTGCCAAGTGAAGCAGGGTACACACTGAAATACACTAGACATGATTTAATGAGGAAGTTTATTTTATTGGTTTACAAATCACACCTACCTTTTCATTAAAACAGCTCTTTACCAGCTCTTCTACTTCAACACTTCCTTCTTGCTCATTATACTTCAGCAGAAAAAAGTGCAGTTATAACACTACATACCTGCTTCCCTGAGAAGCCCTGATTTTCAAGAACATTTTGTAAGACTTTTCAGTGCTCCAACAAAGCAAAGATTCAGTGTGAATTTTAGTGGTTTTACGTTAAATTGTCTGAGGGAGAAAAAGACAAAGGCATTATTGAAATAAAATTGTACACTACTGTTTTGCTAATATATTTGACCAAAAAAAAATCACCTTCGTGCAGCGCTTCTTTCTTCATTACTAATCTATCTATGGTGGCAGTGTGACAGAGAAGTGCAGCACCTTCTGCGGGCACAGAAGAGACACAGTTTATTGCTGTGGCTCAACCCCAAAGGCAGCTCAGCACCCACCCACTGGTGGGTTCTCAGTGTGTGTGCAAGGAAACCAAACAATGATTTACTTTGCTACATTCCATTGGTAGGACAGTGCAGTGACTTCCAGGAAAGCAGGGCACATTCCAGGCCAACACTCCCAGCATCCCCCCTTCCTCCTTCTTTACCACAGCTTTTATTGCTGGATGCACACCATACAGTATGGAATATTCCTTTGGACAGTTTGGGTCAGCTGTTGTGCTTCTGTCTCTCCCAGCTTCCTGCACATCTGCAGCCTGCTTGCTGGCAGGGCAGCATGAGAAGCTGGAATATTCTTGGCTCCATGCAAGCACTGCTCAGCAGCAACTACAATCACAGTCTTATTGACACTACTGTATCGATATCCAACACACACCATTATATAAGCTTCTATGAAGAAAATTAACTCTATCCCAGCCAAAACCATGACATTTGTACATGTTTATTACCAACAGAATAACAGTATGGAAAATACTTCAGCCATACAAGTTACTATTGGATTGTAACTGGTTGAGAGAATTTGCTCACTCCTGAATACATACCTCCAATTCATTTGTACGTAACAGATGTGTAGTACTTCAAGTGATTCAACTGCAACAAATCAGGCTTTGAATATATGGCAGTGTAAGCAAGACAGCTGATAATTTAGGTAATTTTGTACCCTGCCGTGCTGAGTAAATTTGTTTTATAAGGGATGATCGCATTTAAATAGAAGCACTGCAAAATATGACAGCTCTTTACAAGTGAAAACCACTTGTTCTTAGTTTTAAAGCTTACTATTCTGCTGGAACTGCGACACCAAGGAAAGAACCTGCTCTGAAGCTTTAATGGCTTTTGTCCCCAGATAGGCTGCACTGTTACTGGCTGTATCCTCTAAGAAGTACCGGTAGTTCACCATCATGCCACACGCAGCAGCAATGCCCCGAGGGCTCGTGTCTCCCATCCAGTTTATCCGCCACAACACAGAGCCATTCTGAAGGTGAAAGTTTGCTACTGGGTTCAGAGCGTAGCCACGGTGTTTTTCCCCGTACAAATACCAGGCACACAGTCTCATCAGCGGCAAATGGAGAGCCTTGACTAATTTTTCTGATCGCACCCACTCGTTGTTGTTTAAGAGCTTCTTTAGTGTTTCAGTAGTACAGTCTCCTGTGATCTGCGATAGTTCTTGGCGTTCTGAGTCTGTAAAAAGTTCATTCTTTTCCAGTTCTTTCGTCTGCGAGGAGAGGAGACCAACGAGCCATTTTGTGAACCCAGGGATAGGCGACAGAGTAGAAAAAGTTTTTATCTGAGGAAGTTCTTTCTGCAGATAAAAGGAAAGCAAAAAAAAACTTATGAGTTCTGTCATGACTGAGAATGAGAAGTTTGAGTGAAGATGAAGGGTTCTGAAAATGAACCAACCAACCCCAAGAAACACAGAATCACAGAACCACCAAGGTTGGAAAAGACCTCCAAGATCATCTGGTCCAGCCATCCTCCTATCACCAATATTTCCCACTTAACCACATCCCTCAGTACCACATCTAAATGTTTCTTAAACACCTTCAGGATCAATGACTGGGAAATCCCCCTGCAGTGACAGCTTAGCATCTGAAGGGCACTTGGAGCACTAAGAAAACTACAACAGCAGCTGAATCACAGTCCACAAACACACAACCTACTTAAAAGTATGTAGATAGTACTTACCAGCCCTATGTGCTGAAATAAATGCAATCATGTGCCATTATAAAGTTATTTAGAGAAATAAGATTTAAAAAGATAAATCAATCAACATATATTTTCAAAGCCTTTTAAGGAATTTATTTTTTATGTATAACTAATGAAGGAGAGTTAACAATTTCAGCCTAGAGGAAAATTAGTAGAAGTACAACTTCCTGTTTTTTGGGGGAAAGAAGTAGTTCCTGAAGTTCTGAAGGAGGTGTTTTGTACTTCCCATGCTATTCAGAAACTATAAACTGCATGGATAACATAGCAAGATAAGAAATATATACAGACAGTAAAACAAACAAACAAAAAAACCCACACAATAATCACAAAGTTAATATTTGAACACAACAAAGCCTCTGCTCTACTCCCATCAATCCATGAGTCAGAACGATTAATTACATAATCTTGTAAAGCAAAACATACAGTGTGAAAACTGTACATTAGTTTTGGGGCACATCAACACAAAGAATAAAGAAGGTTGTTAAACTTATTCTCACTTGAAACAAACAAAACTGACATCAAAAGTTACCCCTACTGAAGGAGTAGGGAGAAGGACAAGGAACAGAATTAAGACAGTGCTGCACTGATACAATCACTGTGTTTTAATTACTGTTCATAAAGGAAACTGTGCTAAGAATAGACATTTATCAGCATTACAGAAGCATCTGAATGTCAACAGCAAATTGTCTTTAAATGACTACAAAACGCATTTTCTTCTACTTTAAGCACTTCCCAGATAACCATTAAAAAGTCATCATCACTGAGACGCTATCTCACACAGGCAAATGTTAATGGAATGTGTGCTGCTAGGATGTTCAGACTGCACCTGCACTGCTGCATCCTCAGGTACTGCTGAGCTCCACACCACGCTGCTGTCTACGTCCTGTTTCATGAGGATATAGAAGCCAGGGAAAGCAGACCTGTGGCATATCCCCATCACAAATCAGAACACCGAGACACACAACATTACTAAAAGCCTCAATAACTGAACTGATATCCTGATGGTTGTTTATTGTATTTTAGCTTTTTCCTACTCACACAGAGCTTCCCAAATAGCTCACTGCTCTTCTGCAGGTACCACGATACATCCAAATCTGTGTATTCTGGTACCATGATACACCCAGACCTGTTCAATTAAAGTCCATTAGATAGTACACAGATATGCAAGTCACAATTCTTTCAGGACCAGGCAGAAGCAAGATAGGTAGACAGAAGATACAAACAAGCTTCCCTTTTCTCTCTATTCAGTCTTCCAAAGAGATGAAAAGTAAATTATTTAATAAAAACACTCATTTCAGTATCATATTGAACAAAATAGCCATTTCTGTAACCAAGAAAGCCAGTGAGTTCCTGACCAGGTCATAGTCTCAATTACTCTAGCTGCCGTGGTCCGACAGTGCAATACCATTGATGCATCGATCTCCTGTAACATTTTCAAGTCTCCCACTCAAGGACATAATAATATTTTATTTTTGAGAGTCACTCCGAAGCATAAGTGTGTAGAGAATACAGCATTTGTAAAACAGAACAGTTTATTAGGGCTGTGCTCTTACTGCAGATGGTAGCCGCGGAGGGTATGGATATAGCAAATAATTTTTAATTTAAAAAAATATTCCTTCAGCATTTTCTCCTGCATTTTCTGAAAAAGATTTTTCTCTGCTTTTGAGAAAAGGAGCAGTGATCACACTGATCTTAAAAAAAAAAATAAAATAAACTGGGGGGCAGGAAAAGGGAAAAAGAGAAAACAGAACAAAGCAGTTCCATACCCATTAAAAAACCTTCCCTTCCCAGCCCCAAACTAAATATTTCCCCAAGGATATAAAGACTCTTTCATCCACAAATCAGTTCATAATAACTTTAAAGAAATTCGAATATAGAATCAAATGAATCTTCTTTTAATCTCCTTTTATCCATCTCCATGCAGTGTATCTCAATTAAGGAGTATGCCTAATCACATCCAAGATCCACTGTTCTCTATAGCAGCAGGATCTTAATTAGTATGGTAAAGGAGTTATGTTCAGGTGCTCCCTTATCAGCTGCACTTCCCTTGGTTTAACACTTGCTCCCACTCTCAGGACAAGGCTGCTAGCACAAAAACACTGCTCCAGAGGAAACACAGAAAGATGTCCCAGGACTGCATTTTTAAGTGCTACTGGAAAAATACATCAAGATATCTGTCCCTGGAGAAGGGAGCTGATAGCATTCAGTTTTGTCAAGATGCTAATGAGCAGCATTACTCGTTACTTCATTTATTCACGCACAGCTGAAAGCTGACCATTCGTGGGTGGCTCTTCTGTGCCTGGCCCACAGCTTAGCTGCTGAGACACTGCTGGCAACTAACCAGACCTTCTGCACGTCAACACTTACTGCAGCTGGACAGATTTCTGCCCAGAAGGGAGGGTTACATAGCCCTTCTGAAGATTCAGCGACCCAGTGCCCACCTGCCTGTCCATGCAGTAATGATGGATGACAACTCAGCAACTGTCTGCACCTGCAAAGGAATCTGAAGGCACAGAAGCAAAAAAACTAAAACCCATGAAGTGGGATACCTTTCTTACATCAGCATCTTTAAGCAGGAGCAAGGTTTCCCTGCAATAAACACTGGATTTCAAAATGGAGGTTTTTCCTTTTCAATGTTTTCATTCTCTGCTGGGATTTGAGGTTCATCTTTACTCCACAGCACTAAGAATACAAGAGATGGGGATAAAGTAGTAGAAGTGTTCAAATTAATGAACTACCAATGGAATATCTGAGATGTGCTGCCAGAGGGAGTACAGATGTCACTCTTGTGCAGCAGGGGGTAGGGAAAGGAAAAGGAAAAACAAAATAGTTGTTAGAGGCTATTTTCCTCTAGATAGGAATTCAGGGAATACAGGATGTCTTTCTTTTTGACCCAAAGATGGGATTCTATTCCTTAAAAGGTTTACCATTTTTTTTCTTGATGATACTACCTCATCCTATCAAAGTGCCTTTCAGAACACATTGCTTAGGTCTCTTTCATGAATTCTTTACAGATGTTTTGGGTTAAAACCTGACAGGGGAAGATGGGAAGGTACTGTTGAAATTCACGAAGCAGAAATTGTTCTTTCAGGTGCAAGGAAGAGCTGATTGGTCCAAGAGAAAAAGGTGCTGACCAGAAAGTGAAGTCTAGAAGTCTTCTGCACTGTATCTGCTGAAAAAGTGCACTATTTGAAATTACTATTTTCCTGCTGAACACAGCTAACAGCTTTTCACACAGAAGCTGAGCTATTCTCATTCTCCTATAAGGTGACAGTGCTGTTCTCATCTCTCAGAACACAGAGATGGGGGGTACAAACACACCATTCACAGTGACTAGAGAACAAACAATTCCTTCCCATTCCTGTGTATTAATAGTAACCATTGCAAAGTTGCTAATTAAGTACGGTCATTTTGCTGTCTTGTGATGCTGGCTGCTCTTTGTTTATCACTCACTTCCAGAAGTGACTTGCTCACCAAGTACAACCCAAAATATTCATCACAAATTTAGTAATTTATATTCTATTAATAAATACCAAATGAGAAATAATGTGTTGGGTTTTTTTTACACTTCCTAGGATAGATAAGACATAGGAAAGCGACCCCATTTTGAAACTGAGTACAAACTGCTACATATCTGATAATTGCTTGAGTTTAGGAGCTTATCTGAAGCAGCCACTTCTTGTAGAAAAATAAATAGATGCAATGAAACGTGCACATTTATGTTGTTGCTAAATTGATGTGCTAGCTTCTAAGGCTATTGGTGGAGATCCATCAATGTTTATTTTCTTGTCAGAAGCCCACATGCCATTAAGAAGCAGCTGCTCGTTTTGTTTTGGGGTAGATTTTTGGGTTTGGTTGTCTTTTACTTGCGTTGTTTCTCATATTATGCATATCTCTGTCTTGCACTCTGAAAGCTGAAGTCCAAGGTCACATTTTTCATCAATGAATGTAAAGCCTGTTTTGAAAATTATGATCTCCCCAGGTCACCTAGATCAAATTAAGGTAGCAATTATCAACAGCCCAACCAGAAAGCTAAAACCTGTCACCAATTGTTAAGTGCTCTATCAAGCCACACAGTAGCCATCAGTTTTCTCCCCCAAATGCCACAGGCTGTAAAATTGTGAGCAGTTTTCTCCAAGGCTTCACCAGTTATCTGTGTCTGTCATCTGCAGCCTGAATTGCTATGATGTGCCTTCAGCTGAGCTACAGACCACTTAGAGAGGCTATAAACACATTCAGAATTAAATGTCTGTCTAATGAGAAATTTCTCTCTATACATTCACCAGCACCTATCAGCTTGCTAGAAAGGCATCTGCCTGCTTGTTTTCCAGCACCCACTTTTTTCTCAGCTAGTTTGTGGAAATGTTTCAGAATCCAGGTCATTTCCAGGAGCAAGCTTAAATTTAAGTTGTTCATTCCCTGCTTTATACACATTAATATGACCCTGAATGCATAGGTAGCCTGTTCTCAGATCTGTAGAGGAAGAACTGTGACCACAGTAATAACACTGGACTAAAGATCTCAGCTTGCTGCTTGCCCCAAAGTAATCCAAAAAGGACATACTTAGGCAACAACAGAAGCTGGTTTACAAAACAC